CTGAACAGTTTTTTTTCCCCTGTTCCTGCTTTTACCAACATCCAAGTTCACCATCCTTCCTCCCCCTTCTCGTTCTGTGAACCTCTGGAGTCGTGAGTTAAGCCTTTTTTTTTTTTTTTACAGTTCCTGTGGTGTAGAGCAACTACAATTCCTGTTAATCCTTTAATTTCAAATCATAATTTATTTAAAGTGAATAAATTGTAATAAAAAATAAATAAAATTGAATAGCTAAAGTAAATCGGAATTGGAAGTGCATCTGTTCATTGAATGTTCAAAGTATTATGAATCTTTATTTAGAAAGAAATACACATTGGTTGGCCTATTCATGAGCATACATCAGCAATTACACATGTTTATGGGAATAGGGCAAGGTGGTTTGTGCTAGAAATGTGTAAACCTCTATCAGTGAGTCTGCCCGTGAGGTGGGGGCACCGCTGCACCCAGCAGTGTCCCACTTTGTCCCTCAGAATCATACCCTTTGTCCCCCCTTGGGCTTATTAGCAGGTGGTCACCCTAATATTATTTCTGAATGTGTAAAATTTCTACTCTATATATTAACAGTAATGCTAATAATATTGGCCTGTCAACAGTTGGCAGACTGAGGGCTAACAAGTAGCCTGAGCAAATTGCTATGTAGGGACAGTGTTTACCATGCTATCTATGCAGGGGCATTGCTAGCTATGCCAACTATGTGATAGTCATGCTAACTATCTAGGGGCAGTGATAGCCATGCTAACTGTGTAGGGGCAGTGATAGCCATGCTAACTATTTAGGGGAGGTGCTAGCAATACTAACTATGCAGGGGCAGTGCTAGCTATGCTAACTATGTGCTAGCCATGCTAACTATGTAGGGGCAGTGATAGCCATGCTAACTGTGTAGGGGCAGTGATAGCCATGCTAACTATGTAGGGGCAGTGATGCTATCTATGTAGGGGCAGTGCTAGCCATCCTAACTATATGCTAGTGATGCTAACTATATCGGTCTCCGCCAGTCACGTGACTTTTGTTGCTAAGACGCCATTTTAGGTGTAAAAGGTGTAGTGTAAACAACCGCAGCATAGCTAAACGAAGGACTAAAGGCCTGTTTACATAGCAGCCTGTCCAAGATAAGTCATTACAGTTAACATAAGCCTGAAAACAGGGGCGGATTTAGGAAAATCGGTCTCCGCCAGTCACGTGACATTTGTTGCTAAGACGCCGTTTTAGGTGTAAAAGGAATAGTGTACCGCGCCCGAGGTGAACAATTGACGTCACTTGGCGGAGACCGATAGGGGCAGTGATAGCCATGCTAACTGTAGGGGCAGTGATAGCCATGTTAACTATGTAGGGGCAGTGATAGCAATGCTAACTATGTAGGGGCAGTGATAGCCATGCTAACCATGTAGAGGCAGTGATAGCCATGCTAACTCTGCAGGGGCAGCGATTGTCATGCTAACTATATAGGGGCAGTGATAGGCATGTAGGGGCAGTGATAGCCATGCTAACTATGTAGGGGCAGTGATGTTAACTATGTAGGGGCAGTGCTAGCTATGCTAACTATGTGCTAGTCATGCTAACTATATAGGGGCAGTGATAGCCATGCTAACTTTGTAGGGGCAGTAATAGCTATGCTAACTCTATAGGGGCAGTGATAGCCATGCTAACTATGTAGGGGCAGTGATAGCCATGCTAACTCTGTAAGGGCAGCGATAGCGATGCTAACTACGTAGGGGCAGTGGTAGCCATGCTAACTCTTTAGGGGCAGTGATAGCCATGCTAACTCTGTAGGGGCAGTGATAGTCATGCTAACTATATAGGGGCAGTGATGCTAACTATGTAGGGGCAGTGCTAGCCATGCTAACTATGTGCTAGTCATGCTAACTATATAGGGGCAGTGATGGCCATGCTAACTTTGTAGGTGCAGTAATAGCCATGCTAACTCTACAGGGGCAGTGATAGCCATGTTAACTATGTAGGGGCAGTGATGCTAACTATGTAGGGGCAGTGATAGCCATGCTAACTGTGTAGGGGCAGTGATAGCCATGCTAACTATGTAGGGGCAGTGATGCTATCTATGTAGGGGCAGTGCTAGCCATCCTAACTATATGCTATTGATACTAACTATATAGGGGCAGTGATAGCCATGCTAACTGTAGGGGCAGTGATAGCCATGTTAACTATGTAGGGGCAGTGATAGCAATGCTAACTATGTAGGGGCAGTGATAGCCATGCTAACCATGTAGAGGCAGTGATAGCCATGCTAACTCTGCAGGGGCAGCGATTGTCATGCTAACTATATAGGGGCAGTGATAGGCATGTAGGGGCAGTGATAGCCATGCTAACTATGTAGGGGCAGTGATGTTAACTATGTAGGGGCAGTGCTAGCTATGCTAACTATGTGCTAGTCATGCTAACTATATAGGGGCAGTGATAGCCATGCTAACTTTGTAGAGGCAGTAATAGCCATGCTAACTCTATAGGGGCAGTGATAGCCATGCTAACTATGTAGGGGCAGTGGTAGCCATGCTAACTATATAGGGGCAGTGATGCTAACTATATAGGGGCAGTGCTAGCCATGCTAACTGTGTGCTAGTCATGCTAACTATATAGGGGCAGTGATGGCCATGCTAACTTTGTAGGTGCAGTAATAGCCATGCTAACTCTACAGGGGCAGTGATAGCCATGTTAACTATGTAGGGGCAGTGTAGCCATGCTAACTATGTAGGGGCTTTGCTAGCCATGCTAACTATATTGGGGCAGTGATAGCCATGCTAACTCTATAGGGGCAGTGATAGCCATGCTAACTATGTAGGTGCAGTAATAGCCATGCTAACTCTACAGGGGCAGTGATAGCCATGTTAACTATGTAGGGGAAGTGTAGCCATGCTAACTATGTAGGGGCTTTGCTAGCCATGCCAGTGATAGCCATGCTAACTATGTAGGGGCAGTGATAGCCATGCTAACTCTATAGGGGCAGTGATAGCCATGCTAACTATGTAGGGGCAGTGATAGCCATGCTAACTGTAGGGGCAGTGATAGCCATGTTAATTATGTAGGGGCAGTGATAGCACTGCTAACTATGTAGGGGCAGGGATAGCCATGCTAACCATGTAGAGGCAGTGATAGCCATGCTAACTCTGCAGGGGCAGCGATTGTCATGCTAACTATATAGGGGCAGTGATAGGCATGCTAACTGTGTAGGGGTAGTGAGAGCCATACTAACTATGTAGGGGCAGTTATTGCCGTGCTAACTATGTAGGGGCAGTGATAGCCATGCTAACTATGTAGGGGCAGTGATATTAACTATGTAGGGGCAGTGCTAGCTATGCTAACTATGTGCTAGTCATGCTAACTATGTAGGGGCAGTAATAGCCATGCTAACTGTGAAGGGGCAGTGGTAGCCAAGCTAACTATAAAGGGGCAGTGATAGCCATGCTAACTGTGTAGGGGCAGTGATAGCCATACTAACTATAAAGGGGCAGTGATAGCCATACTAACTATAAAGGGGCAGTGATAGCCATGCTAACTATAAAGGGGCAGTGATAGCCATACTAACTATAAAGGGGCAGTGATAGCCATGCTAACTGTGTAGGGGCAGTGATAGCCAAGCTAACTATAAAGGGGCAGTGATAGCCATACTAACTATGTAGGGGCAGTTATAGCCGTGCTAACTATGTAGGGGCAGTGATGTTAACTATGTAGGGGCAGTGATAGCCATGCTAACTATGTAGGGGCAGTGATGTTAACTATGTAGGGGCAGTGCTAGCTATGCTAACTATGTGCTAGTCATGCTAACTATATAGGGGCAGTGATAGCCATGCTAACTTTGTAGGGGCAGTAATAGCCATGCTAACTCTATAGGGGCAGTGATAGCCATGCTAACTATGTAGGGGCAGTGATAGCCATGCTAACTCTGTAAGGGCAGCGATAGCCATGCTAACTATGTAGGGGCAGTGATAGCCATGCTAACTCTTTAGGGGCAGTGGTAGCCATGCTAACTCTGTAGGGGCAGTGATAGCCATGCTAACTATGTAGGGGCAGTGGTAGCCATGCTAACTCTTTAGGGGCAGTGGTAGCCATGCTAACTCTGTAGGGGCAGTGATAGTCATGCTAACTATATAGGGGCAGTGATGCTAACTATGTAGGGGCAGTGCTAGCCATGCTAACTATGTAGGGGCAGTGATAGCCATGCTAACTATGTAGGGGCAGTGATAGCCATGCTAACTCTGTAGGGGCAGTGATTGCCATGCCAGTCCAGGGACTGACTGCAGTTCTACTGGAAGTTGCCTTGGTCAAGGTCAATGACTGACATACCTGACATGGAGCAACCAGACCATGCATAGCGCTTTAGGTTAATAGAATATATTAATTAGGCTATGTATACTTCCAAAAAAATGCCACCATCATGCTTCTTTATTTTTTACAAGTAGACAAGTAGACATTAATGAAATGCACTGAATTTATTTCAACATGGCTGACAGTAATAGGTCAGTTTCTTTAAATGATAAAAATAAACAGAGGATCCAGATTAAAACCTCCTTTACTGTGCCTGCTGTTGTCCACTAGAGGGCTCCCTCTGCCAGAAGAACCTCAGGAGTCCTGGGTGGGATGGATTGGATTATTCTGAAAGAGGCAGCATTCAGTCTGGATTATTTAACACACAGCTCTGGTTCCCATGGGTCAAGGTTTCTGAAAGCTAACTGCTGCTAATGCTAGTGCTAATGCTAGCTCAGCCACAGACGTGAGGATCCTTCCAGGATCAATGTGCCATAAAACTCCAGCAACAGAAGACCCGCTGGAGGAGCTGAAATGGAGTTTTCAAAATAAAAGCTGCTGCTAAGCTAAGATGGAAGCGGAGCATCAGAGAGGCTGAGCAGGTGTGGCAGGTTCACCTGGAGAGCCTGGTCTCCTGCTGAACAACATCCCTGATCCCATAACAGCAGCTGAGCTCCTGATGGTGGAGGACGATTCCAGAGCCGCATTCAGTCGGACAGGAAGACACAGAGACAGCAGGTCCTCCATAAGATCTAAGAATTATCTCTCTTTATTTTATTTACACATAGAAAACGTTTGGCACATCTTCTCTTCAAGTTCTTGGTTTTTTACAGCTGAACATTTTTATGGCTTAAAGAGGTTGGAGGACAGATCAGGACTTCTTCACATTGATCAGGAAGCTCTGCTGCACCAGGACATCATCTCTCCGCCGTCACCGCTCATGTTTGGGCGTCCCATCCCCTCTGTCCACCACCGCCACGGTCGGACGGCTCAGCTCCTTGGAGGACGGGTCGGCGTAGAACTCGGCCACCACAGGGCAGTGGTCCGAGGCCACGCCCCCCCACGACCAGTTATCAGGGATCCAGGGATTGGTCAGGCCCTCCCGCACCACCATGCAGTGACCTGTGAGAGGACGGGATGGGAGGACGTTAGACGTGAACGACGCGCTCTGTTCTGGTTCTGGTTCTGGTTCCTGTTCTGCAGAACCTCTGAAGGTCTTAAAACTTCCTGGATATCTGACATAATTCATCCATCGTCCCTCTTTAGGAAATATTTCTAGAACCATGTTTGGTTCTGGACCTAAGAACTCATCAGAACTCATGTTGACTTTCTGACAGGTATGACCCCTCATAGCCTCTGTAGTTCAGTTAGGCCACCACCAGGTGGCAGTAAAACACTGAATGAGAGGAAAACTGATGCCTGCAGTCATGAGAACAAGGAGGAGACGTGACAGGGTTCTGGTTCTGACCTGAGTAGATCTTCTTCAGGGAGCGGCTGATCCAGATGTTGTCCAGACACTGGGAGCCCTGCGGGCAGCGGGTGCTGATGTTGGTGAACCGACCCGATGGAACCAGCGCCAGCAGCTTCTCCCTCCTCAGGACATCCAGCTCGGAGCTCTGAGGAGGACCGCCGAAGTCGCCCAGAACCACCAGCTCCTTCTCACCTGCACAGGGAGAGACGCAGAACCGAACCGTCAACGGTCAGAGCGGCGCCGACCCGGTTCTGGGAGGTGCGGCTCGACCAGCTGACCTTTGAGCGTTTCCTGGATGCTGGAACTGAGGTGCTGACCCGGTTCTTTGGACTCGCCGCTTGATGCGTTCGGCATGTGGACGTTCACCAGCACCAGCTCCATGGAACCCAGCTGAAAGGAGCGACCCGGTTCAGACCAGAGAAAACTGGTCCGGGCTCTTGGTTCTGTAGAACCGTTTCATTCAGACCCAGTTCTACAGAACCAGCTGACCTTCAGCAGACAAACGGTTCTGAGTAAAACCTGAAACTGGATCAACTCACTGAGAAGCAGGCCCGGTACAGCTGAGGCTGGTTTCCGTTGCCGTTGGTAACCGGGCCATCCAGAACCACGGCGTCCTTCAGGTCGATCCCAGACGAGCTGTCCCACAGGAACCCGGAGAAGGTCCAACCCTGAGACACAGAACCAGCAGTCAGGCCAGAACCAGAACCAGAACATGAGAGCAGGAACATGACCTTCTGAGGCCCAACTAGGTGGGGTCACGGCACCACTGCTTTAACATCAACCAGCGTTCAAGAACCGTTTTCTGGATCAGAACCTGTCCAGGTTCTACTGAGATCAAGGATGGTACCAACATGGGTCAGAACCAGGAATCCAGCCGCATCAGAACAAACTGCTGAGCTGTCGAAACAGGGCCTAAAGTTCTGGGCCTGAATGTCTGCTTCAGGTTCTGGTTAGCATAACGACCGCCCGCACCTGGTGGCGAGCTCAGCGGCACTGTGCTGACCCAGTTCTGGCCTGCTCTGGATGTGGAACCGGTCCGACCCGTACCTTGCTGGAGCGTCCGGTGGGCCTCTCGGACACGACGCTTTTCCACACGCCCCGGGTCCATTTCCAGTTCCGGACACTGGCCAGAATCCCCTGGTTCAACTCCACGCAGAACTGGAAGAAAGGATGAGACCGGTCAGAACCGACTCGGTTGGTGTCAGCCACATTCCAACTTTACAGAACCGAGGAAGGCTCAGCACCAAACCAAGGCCCAACTAGGAGAACCCTTCCTGTTCTAAAGAGAGCCCCTCCCCCACCTGTTGTTTGATGTTTCTAGTCTGAGCGGCTGCTGCGTGACGTCACAGCCTGTTGACACCAGAGGACTAAACGTGAGAACAGCAGAACCAGAACCGCTTCTTTCTGTTCAAAGGGAGTTTTTCCTCTCCACTGTCGCTACAAGCATGCTTAGTGTGAGGGATTGCTGAAGAGTCAATGAGTCGATGCAATCAGCTGGTTTTCCTTAGATAGAAAACTTTGAATCAATCTGACTGGATGATCTGGTGAACTGGAAAGTGACCTGAGATGCCAGGATGTGAATTGGAGCTATAGAAATACACTGAATAGAATTGAATTTCAGTTTTAAAAACAAACAGTTCAGATTGTAAATATATGTGAGAAACTCCTTCTGATCCTCATTTTCTGACATAATTTCCACCAAACTTCAGAGGATGTGGTGGTTCTGGCTCTTCTGGACCCAAACAAACGGTTCAGAGACCCGTTTGTTTCAATCGGACGTGTTAAAGCAGGGAAACGTCGGACAGACCCAAAGAAGCTGCGGTGAAGTTTCTGCATTCAGGGGCGGAGCTAGATGGGGGGCCATAGGTGGCCATGGCCTTCCTTAGCCAATCATTGGTAACTCCTGTGGCCACCCCCACCATTTATTTCCCTCATAAATATGGTGGCAGCAGTAATACTCTCAAGTGGAATATTTAAAACATTTTAATTTTTAATTACAATAACTTGACAACAAAAACACTGGTTAATTATTCACATCAATATACTAACATTAAAGAAGTACAGAGTTCATGCTCTATTCAGAATTAGATTTTGTTTTATGGAGCAAAGAGAAAATGATGCGTCTCTGCAAGTCGTCTAGGGGTCTTCAGTAAAATTATAGATAAATATTTTAATAAAAACTTAATAATCAATTTACGTAGATATTAGTGCTGCTAAATGTCAATTTTATGCAGAATAATTGTTGAAAAAGTAGGTAAGTAATGACAAAGGAAAAGATGTTCATACCAGAACTCAAACCTGAAAGATTTTTTTTCCATATTAAGCATATTTTTATTGTTTAGGCAAAGACGTGTTTTCTGCGTGGCGTGATGACGTCGGTGCCCACGCACGCACCCGCCATCTTCTTTTCTGTGTGTCTAACAAACGGCCGACTCTGAAGGAGTAAAGGAGTGCCAGCCAACGGAGAAGATGTCGTCCAGTGTTTCTCTCATGCTAAGCTAGTCCATAAAGTTTTTCCCTGTAAAAGCAAGTGCTGCTGCGCAGGGATGGTGAATATCCCCACATCCACGATACCTTTAACTTAGACAGCAGGGATGTCCAGAGGAGGACAGAAGCATTATATCCAGAACAAAGCGACTCAGGAACAGCTTCCCTACCAAACCTGTGAAGACAGCTGCCCCCTGCAGGAAGACACCGCACACTACAGGCTACATATCTCAACTCATTTTTATCTCCACATTTTTACGGATGCTGGTGGTTTGTTTTTCCCCGGTAGTGTTTAGAATAACGTCTGTTTATCTCAGCTGCTTTCTGCAGCAGCGTTTCAATATGGCAGCCATGAAGACCCTTTAGGAATGTCTCTAAACTAGAAGGTGGTTCTGGTTTATTCTGTCCACTGTGGAGAGACTGTGATCTGAAATTGATGATTTTCACCTTCATGCTGCACCGTCTGCTGCTGCACACAGCAAACATGGATGAAGGGATTTTTTTGTACCACTACTGAGGCAGGCAACATAATTAATTAACAGAAATTTGAAAAACTTCTTCATCAAAAAGAGGTTGTGGAATTTCTATTTCCTCAGATCTTTCCCATTTTTTTCATATTTTCTTTTTTTCAGGAGTTTTACTAATCTGCATGGGTGTCAGCAACATCTCAGATCTGTAAAACTAAAAGGATTGGGGTTTTAAAACTCCATCTGAAAAAGAGAAGTTTGAAATATGAAAATATTTTAGTATAAAAAAATTACTTTGAAAACAAAGCAAAGTTACGCTGAAAACCTTTATTGATTTTCAATTTCTTTACAGCAAAGCGTTCTAGGTTCTGCCATCAATCTGAGCAGATAGATAAAAGCTTATGGGTCAGACAGGAAAGGTTCTGCTGTGAAATAATCCCATCCTTCTTAGCATCAGGTTACATCACTGCTTGCTTCCTAATAGGGGGAGTGGTGGCCTAGTGGTTGGGGCATTGGGCTTTCAATCGTGAGGTTGTGAGTTCGATCCCCCACTCCCACAGACTGCCACTCTGGGTCCATGAGCAAGGGTACTACATACTACCACTAGGGGGCAGACTAAGGGCTCCAAGAAAACAGAGTTCAGTGAACTCCAGTAGCCTGACAGGAGGTAACTGGAGTTCATCCAGGCAGCAAACAGGGGGAGGCAGAGGAAGCTCCGCACACAGACGTCTCCTAATCAGCAGAGCTACATCCTGTAGAGCAGGTAGCAGTTCCTCCATCACAGGGAACAAACACAGCAAAGGTCAGAGGTCACCTCCCACACCCACATCAGCTGATCCAACAGGACAGAACTGGGTCAGGAATGGAGTCAGGGCTGGTCCATGTGGGCCTTCAGAATCTAGAGGATCTGTTTCTAACTCCTGGTACCAGATGGACCAGAAAAAAACAGAACTGCACTGGACCTTTATAGCCTGATCCGTTGAACCTGCCGGTCCAGGCACTCATATAGGACCACTGGGTCGGGTTTGACCCTGTTGGTCTTTCTGACCCTAAAGTATAAACTTTAATTTCTATCAACCCATCTATCAAAAGATCATCCCAGAGCTGCAAAACCCAGAAGCTGGTTCTGTCCGGCAGCAGAGAACTTTGACCCGGTGAGCAGAACTCTGCATCCTTTCAGCTTTTAGCGTTCCCTAAGACAGGACCATTCACTGGGACAGGACGGGTCACCGATACAGGACCGTCCATTGAGACCAGGCTGTCGACTGAGACAGACCGTCCATTGAGCAGCAACGTCCACTGGGACAGTACCGTCCATTGAGACCAGGCTGTCGACTGAGACAGCACCGTCCATTGAGCAGCAACGTCCACTGGGACAGTACCGTCCATTGAGACCAGGCTGTCGACTGAGACAGACCGTCCATTGAGCAGCAACGTCCACTGGGACAGTACCGTCCATTGAGACCAGGCTGTCCACTGAGACAGACCGTCCATTGAGCAGCAACGTCCACTGGGACAGTACCGTCCATTGAGACCAGGCTGTCCACTGAGACAGACCGTCCATTGAGCAGCAATGTCCACTGGGACAGTACCGTCCATTGAGACCAGGCTGTCCACTGAGACAGACCGTCCATTGAGCAGCAATGTCCACTGGGACAGTACCGTCCATTGAGACCAGGCTGTCCACTGAGACAGACCGTCCATTGAGCAGCAACGTCCACTGAGACAGTACCGTCCATTGAGACCAGGCTGTCCACTGAGACAGGACCCTCCCGTAAGACAGGACCGTCCACTAAGACAGCAAAGTCCACTGGGACAGGACCGTCCATTGAGACAGCAAAGTCCACTGGTACAGCACCGTCCATTGAGACCGGGCCGTCCACTGAGACAGGACCCTCCCGTAAGACAGGACCGTCCACTAAGACAGCAAAGTCCACTGGGACAGGACCGTCCATTGAGACAGCAAAGTCCACTGGTACAGCACCGTCCATTGAGACCAGGCTGTCCACTGAGACAGACCGTCCATTGAGCAGCAACGTCCACTGGGACAGTACCGTCCATTGAGACCAGGCTGTCCACTGAGACAGACCGTCCATTGAGCAGCAACGTCCACTGAGACAGTACCGTCCATTGAGACCAGGCTGTCCACTGAGACAGGACCCTCCCGTAAGACAGGACCGTCCACTAAGACAGCAAAGTCCACTGGGACAGGACCGTCCATTGAGACAGCAAAGTCCACTGGTACAGCACCGTCCATTGAGACCGGGCCGTCCACTGAGACAGGACCCTCCCGTAAGACAGGACCGTCCACTAAGACAGCAAAGTCCACTGGGACAGGACCGTCCATTGAGACAGCAAAGTCCACTGGTACAGCACCGTCCATTGAGACCAGGCTGTCCACTGAGACAGACCGTCCATTGAGCAGCAACGTCCACTGGGACAGTACCGTCCATTGAGACCAGGCTGTCCACTGAGACAGACCGTCCATTGAGCAGCAATGTCCACTGGGACAGTACCGTCCATTGAGACCAGGCTGTCCACTGAGACAGACCGTCCATTGAGCAGCAACGTCCACTGAGACAGTACCGTCCATTGAGACCAGGCTGTCCACTGAGACAGGACCCTCCCGTAAGACAGGACCGTCCACTAAGACAGCAAAGTCCACTGGGACAGGACCGTCCATTGAGACAGCAAAGTCCACTGGTACAGCACCGTCCATTGAGACCGGGCCGTCCACTGAGACAGGACCCTCCCGTAAGACAGCACCATCCACTGAGACCGGGCCGTCCACTGAGACAGGATCTTCCGGTGAGACAGGGCCATCCACTGGGACAGGACGGTCCACTGAGACAGCACCGTCCATTGAGACCGGGCTATCGACTGAGAGAGGGTCGTCTACTGAGACCGGGCCGTCCAATAAGACAGACCGTCCATTGAGACAGGGTCGTCTACTGAGAACGTTAGCCCGTCTGCAGCAGCCCTCTCCCTGCATAGCCGTGTGTGTGAAGGACCGCTGGCTCTGATGGAGGTTTAATTGTTTGATTTTGCAAAATGTTCAATAGATTTGTGTTTATCTGACTGTGTTCATTATTATTCCCCCAATAAATGATAAAGGTCCTAATTTATTATAATCTAGAGATCATTGATAACAGGAGGTGAAAAGCAGCTCCAGACGAGCTTTGAATGTGGTGATGTCATCAGTACGCTGCTGTTCCAATTGACCTTTAATCACCGTCAGCTATCAGTAGATAAACAGAGCAGCCATCATGGTCCAGGACCAGAGAGGCTGGTTTTTATGCAACACTAACCCAGTCATGTGTGTGTTTCAGCTAATTGCATTAATCACGCTGCTGGTACCAGTACTGCTGCCTGTTTTCCAGTGTGAGTAATAATGTGGAAGGCACCCAACCTCAGAGAGAGGTTTACTGAGCAGAGGAACGGTGTAAAACAAGCTCTCTGCCTCTGTGACTAATCCCAGCAAACAGCCAGAAGTTTGAAGGTTGAAGTCCAGTTAGCTTCACCCAGTAGCTTCCAGTTTGGCTGCAGTGATTCAGATGTTTGATGCCGATTTAATGCTTTAACAGAAACACGCCTTAATTTCCCTATTCCATTCCATTCCATTCCACTCTATTCTATTCTATTCTACTAAGCTGTTTGAAAGCCCAGTGATTTTAGTGCAGCGCTTCTAGTGGCAAGACCAATAAGAACCAGCCTCCCAGTTTATCTTTTTTATTTTCCTTTAAGGGCAGAAAAGGAATCTGATTTTTTTACCTGAAGGAAATAAAATTCTGACAAACTTATAAAACTTTCCGACTGGCTGAAAAACCCGTTAAAACCCGCAAACGATCTGCTTTTAGTAGCAGTGGGAACAGCTCAGAGACGCGTGTCTACCCGACTCAGTAAGCGACCCGTGTTAAAATTGCCTTTATTGCCTCAGCTCCGCTAAGTAAACAGCGGGAACATCAGACCTGGGTCGATCCGCTAATTTACAAGATAACGTACGAATGTCAACACACCAACACACGTCGCTACTGACCTCATAAGCAGAACCAACTCTGTTTCCATTGGATAAACATGCAGCAGCTCTGCTGAAAGGGATTCTGATAATAGAAAGAAACAATAAAACACACTGACTACGCCCTGGCTTCCTAACATGTTGCTCTCCATTGTTTACTCTCCTGATTTCTGTCACACTAATGACATCATTAATGCTAAATGAGTGTGATGACATCACCAGACACAGCTGCAAACAGTTAGACCAGCTATTTTGAACAGTGGGAAGGGAGATAAAAGCTGATTGTTAGCGGGTCGATTATGTTTTAAAAACACGAGTTAGCCGACAGTTTCAGTGGAACGGAGGAGAATAATCATCTGGTTGACGACTGATGGACAGGAGGTGGCTCATATATCTTCCTGCCTGGAAAATGTTCGCTCCCTGAATCCAGAAAAGACCAAAGACGTGATAGTCCATCAGATACGTGTGCATCGCTCCACATATTCAGGGAAGCAGGTGGTCGAGGTAAAAACCTTTAAGATCATCGGGTCCCTCTACGTGTTATCTTAGGATCTCACTTCCTGAAATAACAGGGAGAGAAACTTCCTCATATCCAGGGGCGCATTTTGAGGGCCGGGGATGAAGGGCTGTAATGAAACCTCCTCCCTGCTCTGCCTCCCTTTCAGCCTCCAAACCCTCTGCTTCTGACCTACTTCACGCTGCGCTCTCATTTCGAGCCGAGGGTAGAGCGAGCAGCCGGGACAGCAGTGGAGGCTTAGGGCGACACGTGGTGCTGCTAAAATGGACCTTTAAGCTCTTCACATTTAGGCAGAAACAGACGACCTACATATTTACTGAGGAGGAGGAGAGGATGATGAGATGTCCAGCATGGAAAATGTTTTCAGGTAGAGAGATGTGGAACAGGTCGAAGCTGAGGACAGGAAGAGGAGAACCTGGATGGGTCAGGGAGGGGAACCACCATGGAGACGAGTGATAAGGCTTCAAAACAAAAGATGTCTGAATTTTTCTTCTTTTCTATTCTTCCTTTAGTTGGATTAAAATCAATTTAAAATTAAGTAATATTTAAAACTCAGAATAGTTCAACAAACCCTCCTGTGAGGCGATCAGAACACACTGGATGGATGTTAGCCTGAGTCTAATAGCCTAAGCGACCTTTAAGGTATGCTAGCGTTAAGAACATGTTGGGCTAATGCTACGTTCAGACCTAAAGCAGCAGGAGCAGCTAAAATGCTCGTGCTGCTTCCTTTTTGATGCTCGAATGAGTTTAGTTCTGAATCGCGGCTGAAGCATCTTTGCTGCTCTAGCTGCACGGTGGTAAAGTGGGTCTGATGCGCGATGGGCGGAGCTACTCTATCCTTTCTCTGCCTGGAACAATGGCGGCTATATTAGCTGTGATCAGCGGGTAGAAAGTAGTTAGAATCTATGTTGAAGTGAGAAAGTCCTCCTGAAAACATGGTCTGTGCAGTCAGTTCATCCAGATTACCATCCTGCCTTCAAAGATTATTTCTCTGTGGGAGCCGCTCAGACCCCCACATACCGGCGCTGCGCTGTCACTGGGAATCCCCAGCAGCAGCTGCCTCAGGCCCGCTCGCCTCTCCAGGGTTTTCCCCTCCTGTTGGTGGCGGCTGGAAGTAGATGTTAGCGTTTTTCAGGTCTGTGCTACAAACTGCAGGCAGCAGGATAATAAAAGCCAACATATTCTGCCGGCAGGTTTCTACATTTGAAGTTAATTTAGGCGTTAATAAACTGTTTCAGAGGAGTGATCATAGCGCTCTGCATCAGCAGTGCTGCGTCTGACTCCCTGCCAGCTCCCAGATCAGCTTCTCTCATTGGTTGATGAGGCGCGTCCAGCAGCTAAAGTTCAATGTATCCAACTCCAGCAGCAAGCTGCTGCGTGCCTCAGATGCTGCGCTGCAGGAACTTTAGCTGCACCTTGATGCGTGTCAACCATCGACTTTGCGTGTAAACCAGCTGCTTCTGCTGCTTGCTGTCTGATTGAAGCATAACACACGATAGCTTGAGGCTCAGGTTCGATCCAAATAGCTGAAACCGTTAAGGTCCACAGCGACCTTCATGGTAGGAGCTCTCTGAATGGTTCTGGCAGTCAGGAAGCTTTTAGCATCAATTCAGTTATTATAGGGACCTCCTGACTATCCCAGTCGCTATTAGAAGCTGAACGGTTTCCCAAAATCCTTTGTGTTTCAGACCGTGTGGCACAGCTTACCTCACAGAGTCTAACATCTTTTCTCCCTGTTCTCTACCACAGATGTTTGGGTTTAGAACAGAAAGCTTCGGATGCTAGCTACATTTGGAGAGCTTCTGGTTTTTGTAGTTCTTTTCCTGCAGGTTGTAGTCCTTATTTTAGCCAGTCATCCATGTGACCCATGGCAGGAGAAGGAACTAGGAAGTAGGAGGTATGATTGAGGTCTTAGGATGGATCCTCAGACTCTGAGCTTCATGGTGGGCCCTAAGCAACTGCTGTCTCTGCTTACCGATCTTTACGCCATTGATCGCAGAGATGGAGTGATTCATTTCCCTCAGAGCTAACCCATGGCAGTCACACCATGCTAACCGATGGCACCGGGTCGCTCCCTACCTTATCCAGAGCCTCTCGCTCCAGCAGGTCCTGCACAGCCAATATCTTGATGCTGCAATGAGAGACAGAGGGAAACGTTTTACATTCATGCTTCGTCATTTTAACAACAGACTGAAAAAACTGTTTTCCTTAGAAGGTTTTTAAATTTAAAATCACAGATTTTGTGCAGCAGTTGGTTTATTTTTCCTTTTTGCTGTTCATCATCTAAGATCTGTATGAAAACCATCTAGAACATGTTGGGAGGTTTGGTTTACACTGCTAGGACCTGGCTGGCCCCTCCCTGATCCTGATCCTTGAACTGGTAGAGCTACCTGTGCTGGGAGGCCTCCAGGTCTCCAGATGTGTAAAGGACGTTTCCAAGAAAACCAGCTGCTGCTCAAAACAGGCGACATGTTGCTTTATTCCCCCACAGCATCGTCTCCACGGCCCCTGGAGCCCATATGGTTGAACCCTTTACAGGGATTTTTGGCTAAAACCCAGAACAGCCTCAGAATCTACCCTGAGAGATGGAAGGTGCACACACAGCCGGGCGCCAGAACCCTGGCCTGGTTCCCTTTACAGGCGCTGCAGTGTTTTACTGTCAGACCTGGACTGGACCGGGTCCAGGTGGGAACTTAAGCCCAGATTGGTTTTCTCTGCTAGCTTAATGTGAAACATTTAATGTCTAAGCTGCACCTCTCAACAAGCATGCTGCTTCATTAAAGGCCGTTCAGCACCTGAGCGTCGTTCCTCTCATGAAACCTGAACCCCATGGATCTACCGGCCTCCTGGAGGAAATCTGAGGTTCTGCACTAAGTCACAGCCATCGACCCATTACTGGACTTTACAGCCCAGTAAAGCTTTATCTGCTGGCATCAGAGGCATTTTCTAAACCAACAGTCAGCTCAATAAGAGGCGGGGGGGTGGGGGGGGCTGTGAGACCTGCATTCAGAGATAAGGAGACAGATCAGATAAACAGACGAAGCAGAAATCCATTAGTTCTGCTACGGTTCTGTGAACTCTTCACCCATCAGTGCCGCAGCTGATCTGCAGTGCTGCAGCACCGCGACATGAACCCCCCCACCACACACACACACACACACACACACACGCACACACGCAGTGTCACAATATCCTTGTGGGGGCCTTCCATTCATTTCCCACTAATTCATATGGCCTAACCGTGACCCTTGCCCTGACCCTAACCATTACCGACACATACCTATCCCTAAACCTAACCCCCACCCCAAGAAGAGAAACTTTCCTTATGGGGACCAGTTGTTGGTCCCCACAAGTACCTATGAGTCCCCAAAATGTAGCATATTCCTAGGAAATTGTCCCCACCAGGTATTAAAGACATGGCCACACACACACACCCCTACTGTTGACTTACATCAGAAAAGGGGGGTGTGAGCTATTAGCGGCTGGCTGGGTTGGTATCCCAGCTGGGGGGAATGAGCTGCCAGTGTGGGTCAGACCCTTCATGCTAATGCCTGCTTTGGCGAGTAGCGGCAATCCCAATCCCACAGACTGCCCCTCTGGGTCCTTGAGCAAGACCCGTAACCCCACACTGCTCCCCAGAGCGTTCATTTTGTTGCTCTGTACTAGTGAAAGTTTAATGACAATAAAAACGCTGGGAAATCAGGTTGCATAAGGATCGTTGCTCAGCCTCGGTTCCCACACATGAAACCAGATCCAGCAGTTCTGCTCCGGGTCAGAGATCAACCCTCACTGGGTTTTTCCTCCAGACAGAAGCTTCAGCAGGAACGAGCCGCTCCACGATGGCCCTGATGGTCCGGTCCAACCGGGTTCAGGTCCGATCTCCTCTTTCTGTCAGTTTGGCTGGAATTTGGATTCCTGTAGTTGCCCATCAAGGCTCCATCAGGGCCCCTCCAGGCTCAAGTTTTATCATGTTCATGTTTTATGGTTTGTAAAGAACTTTATAAAAAATAATGACAGAATAATGACCAAAGGATGTGAAATAGTGATGGTTTCTCCCGGCCTCTGCTGGAAGCAGGAGGTGGGATGAGGAGGTGAGGTTCTCCTAGCTCTACATGACTAGGGGCTGAACATTAGAACCTGAGAGGTGGTGTCCTAAAGCTGTGGAGGTCCTAAACCAGCCTGAACATCCAGCTAGAGACACCATGGGTGGGTTAGAACGGTCTAGTCAAAGTCCACACCTAAATTCATTTAAATATCAGTGATAAAATTCTATTCAGTTTATTTCTATAGCTCCAATTCACATCATGTCATCTCAGGTCACTTTATGGTTCACCAGATCATCCAGTCAGATTGATTCAAAGTTTTCTATCTAAGGAAAACCAGCTGATTGCATCGACTCATTGACTCTTCAGCAATCCCTCACACTAAGCATGCTTGTAGCGACAGTGGAGAGGAAAAACTCCCTTTGAACAGAAAGAAACCTCCAGCAGAACCAGGCTCAGTGTGAGCGGCCATCTGCTGAGGCCCACTGGGGTTCAAGGAGACAGAAGCAGACATAGAAAAAGAAGCATAGATACAAAAGGCAACTGTCAACCAGCTCCACAGAGTCGCTCCACAGGTCTGAGGGCAAACAGGTCTGAGGGCAAACAGGTCTGAGGGCAAACAGGTCTGAGGGCACACAGGTCTGAGGGCAAACAGGTCTGAGGGCAAACAGGTCTGAGGGCAAACAGGTCTGAGGGCAAACAGGTCTGAGGGCAAACAGGTCTGAGGGCAAACAGGTCTGAGGGCAAACGAGTCTGAGGGCAAACAGGTCTGAGGGCAAACGAGTCTGAGGGCAAACAGGTCTGAGGGCAAACAGGTCTGAGGGCAAACAGGTCTGAGGGCAAACAGGTCTGAGGGCAAACAGGTCTGAGGGCAAACAGGTCTGAGGGCAAACAGGTCTGAGGGCAAACAGGTCTGAGGGCAAACAGGTCTGAGGGCAAACAGGTCTGAGGGCAAACAGGTCTGAGGGCAAACAGGTCTGAGGGCAAACAGGTCTGAGGGCAAACAGGTCTGAGGGCAAACAGGTCTGAGGGCAAACAGGTCTGAGGGCAAACAGGTCTGAGGGCAAACAGGTCTGAGGGCAAACAGGTCTGAGGGCAAACAGGTCTGAGGGCACACAGGTCTGAGGGCAAACAGGTCTGAGGGCAAACAGGTCTGAGGGCAAACGAGTCTGAGGGCAAACAGGTCTGAGGGCAAACGAGTCTGAGGGCAAACAGGTCTGAGGGCAAACAGGTCTGAGGGCAAACAGGTCTGAGGGCAAACAGGTCTGAGGGCAAACAGGTCTGAGGGCAAACAGGTCTGAGGGCAAACAGGTCTGAGGGCAAACAGGTCTGAGGGCAAACAGGTCTGAGGGCAAACAGGTCTGAGGGCAAACAGGTCTGAGGGCAAACAGGTCTGAGGGCAAACAGGTCTGAGGGCAAACAGGTCTGAGGGCAAACAGGTCTGAGGGCACACAGGTCTGAGGGCAAACAGGTCTGAGGGCAAACAGGTCTGAGGGCAAACGAGTCTGAGGGCAAACAGGTCTGAGGGCAAACAGGTCTGAGGGCAAACAGGTCTGAGGGCAAACAGGTCTGAGGGCACACAGGTCTGAGGGCAAACAGGTCTGAGGGCAAACAGGTCTGAGGGCAAACAGGTCTGAGGGCAAACGAGTCTGAGGGCAAACAGGTCTGAGGGCAAACAGGTCTGAGGGCAAACAGGTCTGAGGGCAAACAGGTCTGAGGGCACACAGGTCTGAGGGCAAACGAGTCTGAGGGCAAACAGGTCTGAGGGCAAACAGGTCTGAGGGCAAACAGGTCTGAGGGCAAACAGGTCTGAGGGCACACAGGTCTGAGGGCAAACAGGTCTGAGGGCAAACAGGTCTGAGGGCAAACGAGTCTGAGGGCAAACAGGTCTGAGGGCAAACGAGTCTGAGGGCAAACAGGCCCTAAGGGAAACGGTCTGGGGGAAAAACGGGTTGAGGGAAAAGGGGGTTTGGACAAACGGGTCTGGGGGCAAACAGGTCTTCCTTAAAGGAAAATTTAAAAGGTCTGGGGGCCAAACAGGTCTGAGGAAAAACCCAGGTCGGGAGGGCAACGGTCAAGGGCAAACGGGGTCTGGGGGGGAAAACGGTTTCTGGGGGAAAAAAACGAGTTTTGGGGGCCAAACGGGTCTGGGGGCAAACGGGTTCGGGGGGGCAAACGGGTCTAGGAAAGGGCAATAAACCAAAATGGTCTGGGGGCAAACAGGTCTGGGGGCCAAACGGTCCCGAGGGGAAAAACATTCTGAGGGCAAACAGGTCTGAGGGGCCCGGGGTCTGGGGGAAAACCAGGCCCTGGGGGAAAAAACCGGTTTTGGGGGCCCAAACGAGTCTGAGGGCCCAAACAGGTCTTGAGGGCAAACGGGGCTGAGGGCAAACAGGTCTGAGGGCACACAGGTCTGAGGGCAAACGAGTCTGAGGGCAAACAGGTCTGAGGGCAAACAGGTCTGAGGGCAAACAGGTCTGAGGGCACACAGGTCTGAGGGCAAACAGGTCTGAGGGCAAACGAGTCTGAGGGCACACAGGTCTGAGGGCACACAGGTCTGACGGCAAACAGGTCTGAGGGCACACAGGTCTGAGGGCAAACAGGTCTGAGGGCAAACAGGTCTGAGGGCAAACGAGTCTGAGGGCAAACAGGTCTGAGGGCAAACAGGTCTGAGGGCAAACAGGTCTGAGGGCAAACAGGTCTGAGGGCAAACAGGTCTGAGGGCAAACAGGTCTGAGGGCAAACAGGTCTGAGGGCAAACAGGTCTGAGGGCAAACAGGTCTAAGGGCAAACAGGTCTGAGGGCAAACAGGTCTGAGGGCAAACAGGTCTGAGGGCAAACAGGTCTGAGGGCAAACAGGTCTGAGGGCAAACAGGTCTGAGGGCACACAGGTCTGAGGGCCCAAAACAGGTCTGGGGCAAACAGGTTCTAAGGGAAACAGGTCTGGGGGCCCCGATGGACTAAAGGGCAAAACCCGGTCTGAGGGCAAACAGGCCTTTGGGGGGCCCCACAGGTCTGGGGGCACACAGGTTTTGGAGGGCAAACATTTTTGAGGCAAACGGTTGAGGGCAAACGGTCTGAGGGCAAA